ATGGACCGTGCCCTCCTGTGTGATTTATGGTCTCTGAAAACTCACTGAAAGTTTAACTATGAGTCAGTTCTGCCTCCGTGGCAAAAAGGGAAAGAGAAAGAAAATTTGACCTCATCTTATAGGCATTACTTCCAATTCCTCCCTACACAAACGAACAAATATACAAACTCATAGACTGACTGTTGTTGAGAAGAGAAGACATATCTGACTTCCTTATAGAAGGATCTGAGGCACTTGTTGCAGATGATTAAGGACTACAGCCTTTAATATGGATTGTACTCAATATAAAAAAATGAAAAGTCCTTACCATTGGACCAATAGGCAGCATGGTGATAGGTAGAGAAAATATTAAAATTATCAGCTTTATCTTAATTGGATTCACAATCAACACTGTTGGTATCAGCAGCCAGGAGATCAGGAGATGTATAGCACTGGAAAAGTTGGCTGTCAGAAATCTTTCCAAAGTCCTGGAGAGCAATGATGCTAGTTTAAAGACAAGCCTGAGCCTGATAAAAGTCACTGTCTTTCCAATCACCTATTATGTGTCTGAGAACTGGACAAATGAATAAAGATTGAAGAATTGATGTGTTTGAGCTGTTGGTGTTGGAGAGAGTACTGAATATCCCATGGACTGCAAAAACAAAACCAAAACAAAAAAAAAAAACCCACAACAAAACATCTCTCTCTCTCTATCTCTATCTCCTTCCCTTGGAGACGTGTCCTGTAGAAGTCCTGTGTAGATTATGTTTTCCTTCATATATATATATATGTATATATGTATATATGTATATATGTATATATGTATATATGTATATATGTATATATGTATATATGTATATATATACATATATATATCACACACACACACATAAAAACAGACATGTCATAGAGAAGGTATAACCAGAGTACTCCTTGGAAGAAAGGATGTGGAAGGGTCATCTCTCATATTTTACACATGTTATTAGTAGAGGCTATTCCTTGGAAAGGGTGATTATATTTGGAAAAGTGAAGGGTCAGCAAAGAAGCAGAAGACTTTCAAAGAGATGGATTGATATAATCTCTCTGGCAATGGGCTCAAATATGTTGGGCATGATAAGGATAGGACAAGATTCAGATCTCTTGTTCAAAGGATTACTATGAGTCATACTTGACTTGACAACAACATCATTTTTACGGCAGTAGACCGCCACATCTTTCACCTGTGAGAGTGGCTGATGGGTTTGAACCACTGATCTTTTTTTGATAGCATCTGAGTGATTAGAAAGTCTATAGTAGATTGCTTTGTTATATATAAAAAAAAAATAGAACCTGTCATAGTCTATGGATCACAGGTGTTCTTGTTGCAAAGGCCCTTTCATGAATTTCACGTGGTCTTTCCCTTCCACATGGACACCAGGAAGTCTTTTTGTCACCTAAGCAGGAAAGCTGTTTTATAAACAAATTCAAATGTATTTTCAGTCCGAGATATCCTCCAAGTCCTCACCAGGGTATGCTGATTGAGCCTGAGGGTGCAACCTCAGACTGCTGAATGGGAAGCATTGTAACCAGAATCAAAAGGAGACTGCCAGCCCCTGACTGAGTGGGGTTAGAAAGCTCAGAGAGCTGCCATTCATCTGAGGCCACAGGCTGAGTCCATGACCCTCAGAAAACAAGAGCCTGCCTCTGGCAGAGACCAGGGGGTGATGCTGCTGGCCGAAGACTGGGCACATTCTCAGGGAAGAATGTTCAAGGTCTTCTGGGTCTGCTGTTGTTGTCAGTAGGTGCCATTGAGTTGAGTATGACTCATAGTGACCCTATGAATAACAGATCTGAAACTTGTCCTGTCCTGTGCCATCCTCACCATCTCTGACACTCAAGTTCATTGCTGCAGTCACTTTATTAACCTGTCTGGTTGAAAGGCTTCCTCTCCTGTGTCCTCCTTCCACTTTTTTAAGCATGACATCCTTCTCGAAGGAATAGCCTCACCTAGCTACATGTCTAAAGTATGGAAGATGAAGCTTCACCATCTTTGTCTCCAAGGAGCACTCTGGCTGCACTTTCTTTAAGACATATTTGTTTGTTCTTTTGACAGTTCATGGGGTATTCAGTACTCTTCTCAAGCACCACAGTTCAAAGACATCAATTCTTCTGTCATCCTTATTCATTAACCAGCTCTCAGATACATGAATCAGGCATGCCTTATCCTCAAACTAACATCAATGCTCCTCAATAATTTGGAGAGATCCTTGACTGTAGACTTTCCCACAGCAATATATCTCCTGGTCTCCTCACTGCTCTTTCCAAGTGTATTGATTGCTGGCCACAAGAAAAGGAAAACTGGGAGCCATCAGGCCAGAGAGAATAAGGCTTTGTATCTGCACCATGATAATGCAGTATACCCACTGGACTGTAGAATGGATTCTGACTCAGGCAACCCCCATTGAGTTTCTGAAGGCTGTAAATATGTAAGAAAGGAGACTATATCTTTCTCCCTCGAAGTCTCTGGTACATTTGAACAACTGCCATGACATGCTACACTGTACCTCTTGGTCTCCTCTGATAATTTAAAAATTCATTGCCACAGAGTGGAACTGACTCATAGCTGAGCTCTCAGTGGTTTTACAGAGGCTGTCTGAAATCTCAGCTTCTCCTGGAGAGAAAGATGAGTAATGTCAGGAGAGGAGATTATCCATATTTTTCTCCATGAGCAGCTGGTGGATTCAGACTGTCTGCCTTTGAATGCAAGTGTTTGTCTACTTGGCCACCAGAGATAGCAAATGCAACTGGCTGCATCCAAAAAGGGTTTCAGTAAGGAAAATAATGGCCATTCACTTAAAAATAGTTGCCTCTTTGTTCTGTATTGTTAAAAGGCTTAACAATTAAACAGTAAGAAAAGGCTATGTGTTTTTTTTGTTTTGTTTTGTTTTTTTTTAAATTTTTTTTTTTATTTTTTATTATTTTGTGTGCGTGTACCGTCAAATCAGATCTGACTGGTACAGGAGGATATTGCGCCTCCTTCTCCGGCAGAGCATCTGGTGGATTCGAACCGTGTTCCTCTGGGATTGCAGTGCAGCTTCTTGCCACTAGGCCACCAGAGCTCCCCTATGTGTTTTAAGGCAAAAAAGAATTTGGGGGCAAAGTCTCTGCCTTTTCATATTAAACTCCTGTTTCTAATGTGACAAGTTTCTCTCTTCAGAAATTATTACTGAGAGCCTGGTGGTGGGTGGTGTGAACAATTAACATACTTACTGCCCAACCAAAAGTTAAGTGTTTGAGTTTCCAGTCTTAGAAGAAAGGAGAGGCGATTTGTTTCCCAAGCTTTGGTATATTCACACAATAGAATACTATGCAGCCTTGAAAAACAAGGAACTAATAAAATATTATACAAAATGTGTGACCCTGGAGGACAGTATGCTGAATGAAATATCTTAGTCACAAAAGGACAAATATTGCGTAGGGCCACCGTTGTAAAATGGGATGACATCGGAATTGAGGGAAGACAGAGAAGGAGGGGACGAATGATGCATACTACATTGAAACAGATGAGGGAGAGAACTGTTTAAAAGGAATATATGTATGATTAGGTATTATTGTCATGATAGGAGTCCAGAATGAAGGCTGCACAGTGGAGTGAACTTGGGAGGAGGGATTGCATAACAATGAAAGAGTTTTACTTTTCAAGGAGAAGAGTGAATGGGGTGGGAAGGGGGCGGGCAGGGAGAAAAGTGCAACAATGAATGAATGGAAACCCTTAAGTCTTTGTAAATATTCATTAAAATTAATGGGAAAAAATCGCCACCCTTTGAAACCCGTGGAGCACAGTTCTACTCTAGAGATCAACAAATAATGCCAGTTATATTTGTCTTTAAATTATGCCGCCTTGTTTTTCGAATCTTTGGATGTTCTTGTGTCTTTTCATCACTCTCGTGTGTCCTTTCTCTCTTCCCACTTCTCTGTTCCCTTAGTTGTGTGTGCCACTGTGGGTGCATTTACTAGAATGTTGGTGCTATGGATTGAATTGTGTCTTCAAAACAATGTGGTTTTGAAGTCTGTGGTCCTAATCCCATTTGGGAAAGGGTAATCTTTGTTATGTTAAAGAGGCAGGATTTGTGTAGGGTGTGTTTGGGTTTTTTTTTTTCTTCTTAAAATTTGCAACAAATACATTTAATGAGAATTCTATGCACATATTTTAAAATGTTGAGCATTTGATATAGAACAATGCTTTCCATTTAAATTCAAAAGAGCATTTAAATTATGGCTATAAAATAGTACATTTAAGAGAAATGTGTTTTAAAATAAAAATAGTGAAAAAGTCTAAGAAGAGGTACAGCAAAATGTGATCAATTTTTCCTTTTTACTTCACTGCTGTTTGTACAGCATGTATATATGAGCTGTACATTTTGCTTGCTTTTAATTTTTAACAAAATTTGGGTTCAGTAGAAAAATCCTTCAATGCCTTTTCTGAACTGAACTTTGCTTATAATCACTTCTGTTGTTGTTATGTGCTGTTGAGTCATCTGCAATTCATAGCAACCCTATGTGCAACAGCCCTAAACCGTGCTCTACGACTTGCCAATCTTATTGTCTCTGACTCACCTATCCCCAATGCAGAAGAGGAAGACCCTTGAATCAGTCACAAGGATAATGGGGATGGGGAGAGGTAATCACCTCTAAGTGTTGTAAATGCACCTGCTCAAAATCAAAGTTCATTTTGTTTGGAGCAATTCTAGCTTGAGAATCAAATGGATACATAAATGACAAAGTAAACGGCATAAACTGTGATGAAAACAAGGGACAGAATAACTACAAACTTTGTGGTCTACAAACAGTAAACTGTTTACTTTTCTCCCTAGATAACCATGATTAACTTATAAACAATGGTATTTACAATTTATCTCAAAATATTTCCCTGTAATGGGAAACTTAGCATTACAGAATTTCAAGATCAAAAAGTTTAAAAAAATCCATTTTATTGCCTTTATTAAACAGTACAGAGCTAGCATTCAGTCAAGAAAATCCACTCATACTTCAGGTCCTTCCCCTCCAGGAACCAGCACTGTTATATTATTTCCATTGAACAGTATCTGCTCTAATTTAGTAATTCTTTTTCCTCCTGGCATGATTTCCAACTCAGTGACATCTTCCAAGACCATATTGACAAAGTCATCAAAACATAGAAGTGTGCCAATAAATTCTTTAGCCATCTTCATCACAATACGAATCCTTGATCTTATACATTTGTCCACAAGTTCTAGCGGCGGTAGTTGTGACTGGTTGGTGGTAGCGTTAACCTCCATAGCTACATCGGAAGTGGTCTTTAGGGTGTGTTTTGAGTCAATTTCTTTTGAACTATATAGGAGATTAAACAAGCAAACTAAGGCAGAGATGGAGAAGAGAGATGCGAAGCCACATGAAGTTACCTGGGAGCAGAAGCTGCAAGAAGGAAGGATCTTCTTCTAGAGTCAAAGAGAAATGGCCTTCCTTAAACCCAACCTGAATTTGAACCTCTAGCATCCTGAAACGTGATAAAATACATTACCATTTGTTAACGTCATCCACTTGGGGTATTTTTAATTAATAGCACAAAGACAAAGACAGTTGGCCTTTATCTCGCCAGTTCTGAAGATCTTTTGCAGATCTCAGCTTGACAACAAAGCTTATGAGGGTCTCCTGGATGACAGTCTTAAGTTTTCAGATCTCTTCTGCCCTGTTCCGCTCTGACCCTGTGGCTTCAGCAGCTGTCCATCTCCAGTATTGACTTCACCTGGTGGTGCTCTCGCCTGACTCCCCAGGGCACCAAAACTCTCTTACAGTGTTTTCCTTCATTCGTGGAGCCTTAAATCAATAGCTGTGCCTTTCCTGGATGCTGCTCAGAATCTTTCAAAAACTTCTCAATTAATTCCTCTCTCAAGGGACTCAGGATCAGGCCTAGCAAAGGAGACAGGTCCAGGTGAAAGGAACATTCACTTTGACGGAAGCACACGAGTGTCATTTCATAAAAACATATGGGATGGATTAAAGTGGCCACTTTGCCTTTTATGTGTCAGGCACCACGTTGTCCTTTTTCTCTAGAATATCTATTTAAGTTCTGGGGACAAAGGCCACAGAGGTGAATGTCCCAATCTCATCATATCATCTTATCAAGGGTGTGTCAAATGATTTCTCACTGGAGATATTGACCTTGATCACCTGGTTGAAACTGTGTTTGTCAGGTCTGTCTCCTGTGAAGTTACTCCCCCTTTGCCACACTGTACTCTCTCAACGTAAATCACTGCACAGTGCATGCTTAAGGAGGGGGTGCTTATCTCAGTCACAAAAGGATAAACATTGCATATTATAAAATAGGAAAGACCTGGGGGGGGAGGTTGGGGAGGGAATGAGGAGTGGATAGATAATGAAAACGGCATTAGAACAGATGAGAACTGTCTGAAAGGAATATAGCGTTATGCGTTATATGCATGAGAACAATCCAGAACAAGGGGTGCATTGCTGGTGGGCTGGGGAAGCGGGAGAGAAGAGAAAAAATGTACAACAATGGAGAGAGAGAGAGAGAGAAACAGTGGGGGAGAGCTATGTTCTGCTTCCTTGAGGACAGAATATCTACATACATTCTTTGGCTTTATGTATTCATCCCTGTAAAGCTGATTTTTATAACCAGCTTTATCATCTGCTGGCTGTGTGATCTCTGTCAAGTTGCTTGAGTCAATGGCTTTATCTTTAAAATCTCTCAGTTGTTGTGTACCATAGAGTCAGAACCAACCCATAGCTGATCCTCTGGTGGGTTTTCAGAGGCAGACTGCATGAGAGGAGGGTGCCCATTCTTCTCCCAGGGAGCCACTGGTGGCCTTGAACCACATGCCTTTGGGATTGCAGCACAGCTTCTAGCCATTAGGACACCAGCTCCCTCTTCTTATAATTTTTGGAGACCTAGTAGGTCTAAATCCTGTTTGGAAAGCACCAGGCTTGGAAAGGGTCAGAAGAGAGAAAAGCCTCCGCCAGCTGGATTGGCACAGTGACAGCAGTGCTGGGCTTAAGTATTCTGGGGAAAGTGAGGATCAGGCAGGGCTTCCGTGAAGTGTTGCTGTGACTCAGAGTCAACTTGATGGCACCTAACACCACCATCATTGTTGTCGTTAGGTGCCGTTGAGTCAAGTACAACTCATAGGTACCCTATGAACAACAGATCTGAACCCTGTCTTATCCTGGGCCATCCTCACACTTCCTGACACACAGGAGCCCATTGCAGCAGTCACTGCGTCAATCCACCTGGTCAAGGGTCTTTCTCTCCCTCACTGACCCCACACCCTTCCAAGCATCATGTCCTTCTTTAAGGAATAGCACCTCATAGCAACATGACTTAAGTATGTGAAGTGAAGCCATCAAGTCAAGATGTGACCTTATTAAAAACAGATCTGTAGAAAAATTAAACAAGATCCACACCTCACTCCATATACAAAAACCAACTCAAGGTGGATCATGGACGTAGGACTAAAACCAAGGACTATAAACTTCATTCAAAAAAAGCTTGGAAGAACTTTAGTAGTCCTAATCCACAACATAAAGAGTCTTCCACGTATACTGAAAAATTTACAACCAGAAGATAAAATAGATGAATGGGGCCTTCTAAGAATCAA